GTTCTACTTAAAGGAACAAAATAAATTCAGACATGCAGTACTCGCCTATACTGTGTAGATATGGATATCTAGAGAATTGGATGAAAATAGCTGCTGAGGTATAAAGGTACAAAAGCATAAAGACTTTAATTTTCTTCCCGAAGACACGTGCAACTACCAAAATGTAATTATGCATTGAACTAAAACAAACACAAAATAAAATTACAAAAAGTAGCTATAGAGTACAAACAGGCAAGGAGAAACTGCATGGTCATTAAGAAGCAACTACTAGCAGGCAGTAGCTCACTTCAGCTAGCAGAACATGAATAAATCATAGTAGAAAGAGCATATTTTCTACCCTCTATGATAAGTCCTTGAGAAGTCACGAGGTACGGACACCCACCAGAATCTAGAACATCCCTTATGGCCCTCAGCTAGCCTATTATACCTCCTGAGGGGTGCAGTGTGGTTAGGAGAGACTTTACTGCCCTCTAACCACTGCACCAGCGGCGTGCACAGACAGTAAAAAAGGGCACACACTGGAAAAATTCAAAATCTAGATAAGTCTTTTTTTTCTTAAAATAAGTGCGTTGGTCTTGAATTAAGGAGGTAAAAGACATTTTGCCAATGGAACAAGACAATTTACATTCAAAAACACAATTGCATTGTTTTATTTCAAGTGCATTTTATCTAATTGTCTTATTTTAGGGGTAAAAAATACGAATTCGATTTGCAAACTATCTCATTTACCTGCTCAAATTAAGGGTAAATACACTTATTTTAAGACATTTTTTTACTTATTTCTAGATCGTTTTTCCATTACATATAGTGGGCCCTCACCACTTGAGGCGCCCTTTAGCACTCATTTTTGCCTTTAAGAGGGGACTTTAGCATGCGTTTTGGCTCCCAAGGGAGCACTTTAGCGAATGTTTTAGAAGCACTCCCTAAGGCGTGCTTTAACTTGCGTTTTGGCTTACAAGGGGGCAATTTAAGCAGCATTTTGGCTTCTGAGGGAACTTTAGCATATATTTTCTGGCTCCCAAAAACGAAAATTTGCACACGATTTGGTTCCTTATAAAGCACATTAGCATGCCTTTGTCTCCCAAGAAGTCACTTTGGCACTCGTTTTGGGTCTCAAGAGGGCACTTTAGGCAGAGTTTTGGCTAACAAGAGGGAACTTTAACATGTTTTGGCATCGGAGAGGGCACTTACACTGCTTTGTGTTCTCAAGAGGGAACTTTGACATGCATTTCCGCTCCTAAGTGGGCATTTTGTGCAGTGTTTTGCCTCCCAAGAGGTCTGATTAGCATGTATTTTGCCTCTCATTAGGGCGTTTTAGCATGTATTTTGGCTCCCAACAGGGTGATTTAGCACGCGCTTCTCAACAACTGGGCCACAAGGGGAAGGGGGGGTCCACAAGGCCGGTCTACATCCTGAGACCCTCTATGTCCTTTGGAAGGATCCAGGTGTAGGCATAAGAGAGGAATCATAACATGAAGGATTTATAGGAAGATAAAAAATTACAGAGCTTTGGATGGAAAAAACGCAAGAGGAACCATAGAGTATGGTCTACAGCAGTAGTATCTGGTCAACTATAACAAGATAAAAAATTTTCAACATATGCGGAGGGATGATTGCACACGTAAGTTAATTGAACTGAGTGCATAACATCTGTGACACAAGCCTGGGATAATGAGAAGCTGAAAAGGTAGGTTTCCTTTGTATAATTAATGCAAAGGACTCTGTAACATGTACAATTCAGAACATTAACACAACCCAACATAACAATGAATCCAGCATCATCCACCGTGGAAGATGCATTTCATTTAGTCTTTATTGTTCTTTATACTGGGATTTAAGACACTTTTTTTTTATCAACTCAGCTAAAACGGTCTGATTTATTTTGGAAAGATGAAGCAGACATGTTGAAAAGCTGGCTGTTTAAAAATCATGTTGTTGCTCTGTCAAAGTTCGTGAAGAAGGCCTGGCATTTGTTGTATCTCATATGATAAACTGTTCTCTCTGTATGTGTCTAAGATTTCCTAGATTATTAATATGTCATTGTCTTTTTTTTTCATTCTTTCATGTGTTGTATATTATTCTAAAGTGTCTAATAAGCCCCAAAGTTCTTGGCTCCAACCAAGGTGCTTGACACTTAAATAAAAAATAAGTCAATAAAATCAAATCATTCAAAAAGGAACAACAGAGAAATATGAAGGAAAAACAAAATATTGTCAATGGAACATAGCTTTTGAAATAACACATCAGCTAAGGGAGCCATAAGGGGCTGTAGAGGGATATAATGCAGTGATGAAGTGAGTTTCATGCTTGATATTTGTCCTAAGTGTATACAGCATTGTCATCCCTCTGCTTAACAAAACACCCATGTATGAGGAGATGAGTAAGCTGAGTGAACGATCAGAGGATGACACCAGTGAATATTAGGAGTACGATCATTGAACCTGAAACTAACTTACCTTACTTTGGTTAGAGTTCAAGTAGATGTTTACAGTAAATATTGCTCACTCTCACAAAGCTTTAAAACATTTCTTTAAAACAAGAAAATGCTTCTCTCATTTCTGTCTACAATTAATTTCAATATGGCCTCCTTTGCTCTTAAGTATTGTTTTGGATTTTGCCACAGCACAGGTATGGACTGGCAGTTTATGTCAAAAATCAACCCAATTCAGAAATTGATCATAACAATGCTGAAAACTATTTTTTTCTAGGTTTAAGGTTAGAAAAACTGGTACCTGTGATGTTTTGTGCAAATGCATCACTAAATTATATTCTGACTTTTTTCAAGAATTACAGCCTAAATGCTACTTTATGCAAATCTTTATCATCTGGCACTCTGTAGTAAAATGTTCCTCTCCAGCTACCCTTTTCTAAAAGTTAAAAATAGATGGTGAAGTTCCTTCCAAGAGATCTTGCTTATTTGCTGACCACTACTTATCCTTGATGGTCATACTTGGCCAAAAGCTGATTTGATTTATAATACCTCAGCAAAAAAAAGAAAAAAAAGAATAGGGGTTAAAAAATTAATAAGTGGAAGTTCAAAAACAAATGGGGCACATTGGTGCTTATAGGCATTAGGTACATATTGTCAGCTTATGGCAGGCCAGCCCTTTGACAACAGTTGAGAGTCAAAGTCTGTCACTCATAACAGCGGTCCTGAAAATTTGCAAAAACCGTGGAAGTGATTCTAAATATCTAACACTGAAAATCTAGTTAGTCATTTTGTGTTTTACATATTTTAAAAAGAATATCATATTATAAGCTTAACTTCAAAACACTTTTCATTTTCATCAATAGAATTTAATGTGAAAAAAAAAAATATATATATATATTACTAGGGGTGGGCTGTGGGCTGATATCGGCGTTATGGACGCAGCACGTTAACACCAGTCTCTTATTGGGTGATAGAAAAAAAAATATCGCCGTTAATTGATTCTCACAGCTGGGTAGGGAGCTGGATCTATAGCTATGACCTAGCGCGGATGTATATCTGGGGACGAGAAAAATCAGTCTTGTGTGTAGGCGTACTGTTCACACATCGAATATGACGTGCTAACATGCATGCAGCTATAATGCGGGTGGGTTTCTTAAGGGAAAATTTATTTTTAAGAACACCCATCAGCATGGTTGAAGATGGTGGGCTCGAGCTTGTTCTCCAGGTGGCCACAGATGACCCATCTTACAAACTACCTGCAAGATGAACTATCAGGATGAGAATACATTACAAGCACATCACGGAGAAAGCAGCAACAGATTAGAAGTTGCTAGAGGCAACGTGTGGACAGTGAACCACTGGACATTTGTCAATAATGATAACTACCTCTGTGTCACTGTACATCTCATTAATGTTAGCTGGGAACCACACTTCTTTGCTTTAGGTAGGCGATGTTATGAAATTTTAAATTACATTTTACCACAACACCACAAATGATTACCATAAGATAATTTTTGCTTCTTGATGACAGCTTTTGTGAGTGTGGTTAAGAGGGACAAAATGTTTGTTCAGTGGTAATATGTGATGCATTTTGCGTGTCTAACTTATTTAGATAGCACACACATATCCTTAACTTATTTATTCATACCCTTAACCTATTTTATTCTTTTCCTTGTCTTATTTTGTTCTTATATAATAATAATGATAATAATTGAAATTTATTGATCTCACATTACAGAAATTTACCTCTGCATTTAAACCCTCCCCTTAGGGAGCAGTGGGCTGCAATCGTGGGGCGCCGAGGGAGCAATTGGGGTTTAAGGGTCTTGCTCAGAGACCCAGAGTGGCAGTCAGTGGGACAAGGGGTTTGAACTCATATCCTCAGAGTTCCGGGCTCTATGCCCTAACCACTAGGCTGCCACTCCCCTTATGTTATTTATACTTACAATCTTATTTTTCCCTCTTCTGTAAACAGTTTCACCACAAGAAAAAAAAAAATTCCTGCAACGGATCAACAAAGTAATTCTGAATTTTATGTAGATCGAATTTACCTTTAAAAGACCAGTAAGTAGCTGTAACAAAAAAACAAAATAAAAACAATTACTTTTAATTAATTAAAAACAAAATAATTTTTTAAGGCTTTTTAATTTCATTAAAAACAAATATATGACCATGCTTTAAAACTTTAATTATCAAAGAAACCCAACACAAAACCAAAAAAAATTTAACTGTAAAAATTGGGCGACAGGAACAAACATGAAACTAAAACCAGTGATATGTAACAGCAAAAGTAATTGTGAAATGTGATAAAGCTGGATCTCTGTTTAGTGAAAGTCAATAGAATAAATGAATGAATTGGAAAAAAAGTGATTCAAATGTTATTCTCAAACACCAGCCAAGTAAAGCATAACATTTCTGAATAGGGCTGCATTGAAATAAAGTAAGAGTTAAATACACTTGATGACCTTTAGGGACCTAGTTACAAAAGCCAGTTTGTCTTGTGTATAAATACAAAATTGCCTCTATAAATAATTGTTCTTTTGCCAAAACATTTTTTATTTTTTTTTTGCATTTGAAAGCTTATAGACACATAATCATTTTACATTTCTTGCAAAATAACCACTGGGACTTTAAAAAAGCTACCTCAAAGGAGTATCAAAAGCCAATATATATATACACATATAAAAATATGTACAAAACAATCCATCAAGGAAGTCTGCCTAAACTAGATGTGCAGGGGTTTTCTCTTTCAAGTTAGATTTGTTACACCTCAGACACCTCAACAGTGACAACATTACAAATGCATGGGGTCTACTCAAAATGGAATTGTCACAGAAAGGGAAAGGAGAAATAGAAGCAATGCACCAAAATAACTGTTTGTTTTGTTGACAGAGGTAGAGAAAGAAAATAACTAATGGCTGATACAGAAAAGAATAATAAGAAGAAAGACCTGAATATATGAAGAACAGAAAAGGTTAAGACTTTTGTATATTTGTTTAAAAAAAAATATTGTGGGAAAAGGAAAACAAGACAGGGCTATAGCAATGAAATGGCATTTAAAGTAAAAGAAAAAGATGCAATCACTGCTTATGTGTCTTTGGAGGCCTCATATCCAGTGGGGCCTTTAGATAGAAGTACGCTTTGCTTAGATCTTTTAAATTTCCTTGGGTCCTTGAAATCCTTGAAATTTTCTTATTTCTTCAAATGCTTGGGCCTCCTTCTTCAGTCTTCTTTCCCTTCGTCCTGCAGACCTTTACCAAGGACCTTTGATAGGTGGGCCTTTGGGGCTGTAGTCTACTTGATGACTCATACAGTCTACTGGATTGCAACGGCCTTCCTTCCCTTTAGATCCAGGCTGTCCAGGAGGGCCTGGTATTCCAGGAACACCCTGCTGGCCAACAGGTCCGGGAGGTCCCATTTTGCCATAGCCTGGGGGGCCTGGAACACCTAGAACAGGAAAAAAAGAGGGGGGAAAATATGCAGTGTCACTTTTTTTATATTTATTTTTTTCACATCTAGAAAAAAAACGACTTAATGTAATATATTGGTTCAAAGAAGTTCATAATTGTAAAGGTGAAAAGGGCTTTATGGTCTGATACAAAAACAAAACTTAAAAGTGTGTCTTGTAATTGTTTCAGTACAAAGTAGATAAAGTTGTGCAGAAATAACTGTTTTAAGAAGTCATCTCATTAAAAAAATGTCTATATGTGTGTAACTGAGCTGTTCATAAATGTCTTCAAGGTCTGTAAATTAGACCAAAGGACATGAAACTATCAATGATGGAGTTGGAGAGAGGTTTCAGCGGGGTTGAGTGATCTTAGCACAGTTCAATCCATAACCTGGAAATTGACAGATGCAGTATGATAACCCTAGATGTGCTTCAAAGACCTGTAACTGAGGTAAGAAGATCTCTCATCAGGACAAGTTTGTGTCCTCTCAACAAAGCCAACACATGAAGAAGAGTTAGAAGAGGAAAGTCATTTATGACAGATAATTAAAAGATTTGCATTTAAACAATCATCAGGGAGACACTATAAACATCTGAAATATGCTCTAATATGAATATGCTCTAATTATACAACCAAAATTTACATTTTATTTGCACACAAATAGAGCAACCTATATGGCCAAATGCTAAAGCCGAACATCACTGTCAATTACCCATCCCCCCTCTACGAAACGTGGTACAGAGAGTGCTTTATGCTGTGAGGATGCTTTTCCTCAGGGATAATAAAAAAACTGGTAAGAGTGGATGGGAAGATGGATGGAGCTTAATAAAGGACAAAACTGGACAAAGAACTTTCGGAAGATACAAAAGATATTAAACTTAGAAGGGTACTATCCATTTTTTTTTTCATTTTTTTATAAATATTTATTTTCACAAAAAACAAAAAGATACAGGCCCCTTTTACAGGACATTTATTTTTGCCTGTATAGAGTTGCTCTGTTCTATTCTTTTGTAGTTATTGTCAGTATTACAGGTGCACAAAAGGAACTAACGAAGCCCTTCTCTGTTTCTATTTGTGTTGTACAATATTCTTCTCCTTATTTAACCTTGATAGAATTCATTCTTTCAGTTCTGCAAATATATCTTAAAATTGGTGGTCATTGTGCAGCGACATCGATTTAATCCACAGTTTTTCACTCAGAGACCACTGTGAGAAATGTATGATTCTGGTTACTACAATATGAGTTATGTATTATAAATAAATGTGTTTTCTTTGGTCTTAATGAATAATAAACTTCACAAATTAAAAAGAAATCCATTTAGGAGAGGATCAGAAACACTGGAGAAGATTCCAGAAGAACGACGGCAAACTTTAAGGATTAATTGACATCAACCTCATCTGAAATTATGTAAAAAGGAAAATTAAGTTTACTGAAAATGTTCAAGTACATCTGTTGTTAGGGGACCAAGAAAACAAAACAAAACATGAGTCATCTGTATTCCTTTGAAGTGAACACATTTGCTTATCAAATTCAAAATTGAACAAACAACTTCATGAGATGTGATAATAGCTGCCGGTTCTCTAATTTAAGAAATGCTTTCTGAACTCTGGGATGATTAAGGATGATTGGATATGCTGAAATGATTTGAATGATTTAAATTAGTAATTGTGATTTTAACACAGTGAGACTTTCAAATCATTCCATCACACTGCCTATTTCTACATTATTAACCAAGGAAAAACATAAAAGAATTTAGAAAAGTTGCTTAAATTGAGCTAATTCTGGGTTTTACCTTGGACACAGGATGAAATTCCACACAAAGTAACTAAATTTTTAACCATGTAATTGATCTTGATGAAAAGTGAGGGAAAAAAATAGCTTGGTTGGATATATTTGAATGTGTTTACCTAAGTCAAACAAGTACAAATAAAGGAGAACAAATCCAAAATATTATCTAGATCAAAACTTGGTATAGTTTATGTCAGGCATCCCCATAGTCGGTCGAGGGGCGATGTCCTGCAGGTTTTAGATGTTTCCCTGCTTTAGCACAGCTGATTTTGATGATTGCAGTTGAGAAAAAGCCTGTTAATCAGCTTTAAATTAAAATCAGCTGTGCTGGAGCAAGGAAACCTCTAAAACCTTCAGGACAGCAGCCCTCGAGGTCGGAGTTTGGGGGTGCCTGGTTTAGATATTTAAAAACTAATTGGATGTATTACCTGGTGCACCGGGTGGTCCTATATCTCCCATCTCTCCGACACCCTTGTCACCCTTTGCTCCTGGTGGACCATGAGGTCCTGCCGAGAGTAAGATAAATTTAATACATGGGAGATAAATAAAAGATTCATATTATTTTGTATAATGCTGATGAAAAAAATCAAAACAAAACAAAGTAAACAGTGAAATCCATTCACCAGGGAGGCCTTGTCCTCCTGGTCGGCCCTGCCTGCCGATCTGTCCTGGAAGCCCCGGAGCACCTTGGGGTCCAGGAGTACCGGGAACACCGTCTTTTCCTGGGGGCCCCGGTCGACCGGGTGAGGCCACCATTTCTACTGGCATCTGCATGCGAGACATGTAGTATCCCATTCTCTCTAAAAGAGGGAGCACATTTAAAACAAACATTATTTTATTTTCCAAAGAATAAGCAGAATTAGTTTAAACAAAAGGCCTAATTTACAAAGAAAATGGTGATTTAATGTGTAAAGTGTTGGATTATTCATACATTGAATATTTGTGAATAACCTCACCATCAAAGATCTTGATAACCTGTTGCCGAATGAAGTTTTTGATGTCATCATAGTTGACGAAAGCCTATTAAATAAAAGAAGAAAAAAAAATTGACTGATAAAAACAAACAGGGAAACATTGATCAGGCAGATAATCAGAAAATTTATTATTTTATTTATAGTGAGTGCTTGTAGACAACGTATAGAAATAAAACAGGCTGCAAATTATATAAATTAGAATAAAAATAGTGCTGTGAGAAGAGTGAAAGAAGATCTCACATCGTTTCCTGGTGGCCCTGGAGGACCAGGGGATCCTGGTTGTCCATCAGAACCTGGACTTCCCCTTTCCCCTCTGGGTCCAATCGGGCCCATCATGGGTTGGGCGTCCTTTGCAGAATACATCCCCCCTCCTGGTGGACCTGGTCTACCTCGCTCTCCTGGAAGACCCCTTTGTCCAGGGGCCCCCTGTTCGCCCTATAATACAGTGCAAGTAGTTATTTATAGACAAAAAAGGATATATCTTTAGTGTTTTAGATAAATCATACATATTATACTTGACTGTTATAATTCTAGTAGTACGAATAATAATTATCTTATTACATGCAAAATATTTTCCCTTAGGGTCAGCAACACAGAGTGAGGTACACATTTATGAGTAACCCCAGTAAAGATGTAACTAATATAATTTTTTTATATATATAATATTATGTTGAGTAAGTTCATGAAAATCCAATTGTACATTTCATTTATATAAGATGTAACAAAATAACAGCTTTTCCCCCCCTTTGTTTTCTTGTGGTGTATATTTATGGCATGACAGAATATCTGCACAAACAGCAGGCAGAGAAAAAAATACATTTTCTATCCCGCCTTCACAAATGAAAATATGAGAAGTGTACTCTAGCGGTATGTTAAATGGAACAATGGGCTTTGAGATGAAAATAAAGATAGTGCTTCTCTTCAAAGAGGTACTTCAGGTGGATTTTTGCATGAAAAATTACATCAATATTCAGGGAGGCACCCCAAACCCACTGTTATATACTGCCGAATTTGTGATGCTGTCGACTTGTTTTTTTTTTCTTCCAAAGACCCTTGAAATCTTTCTTGAATGCATTGCTGATGAAGTCCTTCAAATCCAGACATCTGGTGGTTTTTGTTATTAAACTTAAAATGGGTTGCCAATTCATGTTCTTATAAGATGATTTATCCAAATCAGAGCAGAAATGTTTTTTTTTTTTCCATATTTGTCCCCAGACATAAATTTAATAGAAATTTGAATTTAATCAAGGTTCAGTTTTGAGAGGATCCAGGGCTTAAAACAATCTAGAGCATTGATGTCATAGACAAATCCTAATAGCCCAATGTCCTGCAACCTTTAGATGTACCTTTACCCTACACCCTTGAATTAAATGGATAAGCTACCTCACTTAGACACTGTCATACTCTATAGAGCTCTGCCAATTAGCTAATATTTTAGTCAGGTATGTTGAGGCAAAGACTGAAAGTTAGAGGACATATGTGCCCTAAAGGACTGGGGAAGGAATTAACAAAGATCCCTCTCTCTGTAACCTTGTAGAATATAATCGGTGTAAACTCAGTTATGTCTATTGATAAAATTAGGTTGTGAAAAGATGTACCAATAATTACTGTACCACAACTAACTGAATATGTCGCAAATAATGCTTTGAGTTCTGTTTCAAAATTGTTATAATGTTATTATATGTTACTGAAAATCAATATCAGTTGACTTGTGGCCTTCTCTACCAATGGGGTCAGTTAAATCAAATGGCAAGGTGACCCTTTTTTTCCTTCTTTTTTTACCCAACTCCACCAAAACGTATATGCTAAGATATCATTTGAGGATATTTAGTAGTTTTTTACTATTTTAAGATTCAGGTATTTTAAAGACAGTCTTGCCCTACATCTCTATCACTTTCCACACAGCAGCACTTACAATGCAGACTGTGTAAACACGCTCAAAAACAGTCCCGCTATATTAGCGACAGTGATTTATCGAGGACAAAGCAGCCCATAATGGACGTCTAATGTTTACACGTCACCAACAGACAAGAGCTTCCTGGAATAAAGAGGAGTGAGAAGAATAAAGGGTCCCGTTCTTGTCTTCCTGCTCTGTTCTGCACTGCTAAAACCCTGACAATGCTGTCCTGTCAGTGTGACAAATAGCCTCATCTAGCATCTCCTCTCAAGCTTAATAGCATTATCCCAGAAGCTGAAGAATAACTCTATCGCCATGCCCACGTACTGTAAGCTACTGTCCTCGCAGAGATCCAGCAAACTCCCTGGATACAGAGCTAGGGAGTTTGCTGGGTGCAAGGCAGGGAACCAGCCTGCCAGTCTGAAAAGGAGGGAAAGGCATGGAGTACGGAAGAGGTCCGCTGTGGGATCAGAGGGTTAGTGAACTGATGACGATTTAAGTGTGAATGCTGAGTGGGCTAAACCAGCAGAGAATTGGCCCTTTCAAAGCTATTGTGTGCCAACAAAAGCCGACCTGAGCTTTAGCAGAAAAGAGAAAACTCTCTCTGATTTCATAGTCTCAAGATGCCGTGAATAGCAGACACTCTGGTATGACAAGAAATAGTCAAAATCCCTAACGCTTACCTTTTGACCTGGTTGTCCATTATCCCCTGGAAGGCCTGGTGTTCCCTACCAAAAGAAAAAAAAAAGGATTTTCAAAATTGCTCATGCTTAGCCAGGTTGGATAGACTATCGCTGAACAGTCCAAGGTCCTTTTTCAGCTACTACAGGTGTTATTATAGAGTTTCCCCTGTATTCAGCTCCAAAAGAGGAGCTCTTGCTGCAAATTTCTGTAATGATGGGTTTCTCTGACCAATTGATTTTTTGTCAATCTTTAAGACAAAAACTGATTTTTAGTGTATACAAGTAGTCATACAAAGACACTCTGATAATTCTGGTGACTCTCAGACGCATGTGGTTGCCCTAGATTTTATTTAGGGGTGTCAGAGTAAATGAGACTGTCGACACACATTACAATGTCCACACATAATAAAAGCAAAAAGAATAAAGATAGCATTATAAATTAGGCAGCTTTTAGGTGACAACAAGTAAAAGGTTACAAAATAATTTATACATTCCACCACATCAGGCTCTCACCATAAGAATTTATGAATCACAAACAGCTAGAGGCTACTTACGTCTTTACCAGCAGCACCATCACTGCCAGGCTCTCCCTAAAAGTCAAAACAAGAGTGAAACACATTAAAAGCCAACGCAGTTAACTCAATTTATAGGAGATAACAGTTAGAGAACAGTTACCATAAGTCCTGGATGCCCAGGTGCTCCTGGAGATCCGGCAATCCCTGGCAAGCCTCTATCTCCAGACTGGCCCTTATCTCCTTTTATACCCTGGAGAGGATGATCAGTAATTTTAATATCATCACTGGAGTTTGTGTCCAACTCTTGGTTCTCTGATCTTACTTTAAGAACAAATTTTCCTTCCAAGATTCAGGATTTTACTTGACAAACATATGAAAATATAAGAATGTTTGAGATTCACTCTTACCACTCCGGATGGACCAGGAGGTCCTGGAGGTCCTGCTGGTCCAATTGCACCCTTAAAAAGAAAGCAAACATATTAGTTTCATTTTTGATTTGCTAAAACAAAAAAACATGGTAGATAAAATGACAAAATACTGTTTGTCATCTTAAACAGAGGAGTGTTTACGATCTGGCCTGGAGGTCCTGGTCGACCTTGTAGTCCTGGGGTACCCGGGTCACCCTGTACAAGTTAAAAGATAAAACAGGTTAAACCTTCAACTGCTGCTTAGATTACTGACAGAATTTGAATGAACACTTTCTCATCATTAAAATATTCCTTTAGACGAGCCATGTTCTTTTTTGTAGCCATCAACTGTTGAATTGTTTGACAAATTTTCTGGAAGAAGCTTAGCTTTTTGAATTATAAAATGTCAAGTCCCAGCAATCATCTCAGCATTAGTGTGAGAAATACTGCATAGATCTTTCTTTGTAGAAAAAAACTAATAAATATTTTGTGGCCAAAGGCTTTAGTCATTGGAAAGGGACGAGGAAATCATAATGACGGAACATGATGAATAAAAATAAATATATATATATATATATATATATATATATATATATATATATATATATATATATATATATATATATATATATATATATATATATATATATATTTAAACATGCTCTGCATTTGTTAAAAAAAGATATGTTTAAGGATTCGGAAAGGACACTGCAATGCTTTTTTCAACTATAGCAGCTAATTTGTGTTTTGTTTGGTTCACTGAGTTGTGGGTACATTTATATCTGTTTGAGTTTCAGACCTGATTTGTCAATTTCAAATAGTACAAAAAGAAAAAGTTAGTTAAGATATAAGAGAAACAATCAAATAAGTCTGCCATCAATTAAAAGCTGAAGGGAGATTCAATGTCCACACTAAGATGAGTCAAAAATAAGCAGTTTTGATAAGTGGCAAACAGATCATTTATTAATGAATGTGGAATCAAAGTGTTATCAAAACCACTATAAGCCAGAAGGATAGCAATAGATACAGTATATGGTTAGGAAAGGGGTGGAGAGAGAGGAAGAAGACAAAAACAAACTGTCAAAGGTTTGAAAACTGAACCAGGGCATTCTGCATCAGAGAATAAGGTTCCCAGTATGTGGGTTGTGAGCTCTATCCCTGCACCACTGCCACACCCAGAAACGCAGATGAACTGAGTCACATCCATGTTTATTTTTGATTTGCTAAAACACCAGTGTGGTTCCACTGCAACTTGCTAGGAACCAAAACTTAGCAATGAATTAGCAGAGGATGTATAGTTTTAGACCTATTTGTTTGTTTTTATTCTGTGGATCAGCGTAAATATGCTACAGATTTAGACTGCACCTAATTCTTGTTTTGTGAAATCTGTTCAAGAAACAAATAATCCAAACAAAAGTTAAAGCCCCAAATTGATAGGAACACCCCTTCGACAAGCATAAATTAACCTTTCACTGGAACTACGCTTATTGAAATTTAGGTTAACGGGGTAGTGATGAGCAGCAATAATACTCACATCATGTCCTTGCCTGCCAGGTGGTCCTTGTGGGCCTGCAGGTCCCGCATCTCCCTTTTGGGATGTGAAACATTTTCAAATTTTCAGTAAAGGCACAACAGGGGTAGCAGTAAAGCTACTATCATCATAATCAAGAATCATGTACAAGAAACAGGCCGTAACCATGACTACATAAGCAGAGAGACGGGATGTGATGATAAAGCAATGGATTTGCTGTCTGACCTTCTGTCCCGGAAAGCCAGCGTGTCCTGTTTTCCCTTTGAATCCCTGAGAAGAAATGTTGATGACAATAAGTCAGTGCACTACAAGAACAAAAGGTATTTGGGGCTGTTAAAAAAAGGGGAAACTTTGTTTGAAACTCTTAGACTTGTGTAGAAAATAAACCAAAATGCAGAGAGAAAAAAGGAGATATACAAATAAAAAATTGTTAAAGAAAAGAGGCAGCTGTTTGTGGATTATGTTTTCCCTTCTCCTGGGTCAGCATGTCAAGCAGCAGCCCAGGGAGCTTCAAATGCAAAACCATGTAATGCATTTGTAAACACTTGCAAGTAAACATTACCGTTGTTAACTGATGTGCAGTGTCGGTTTCTGCCACAAACATCATGTTTCTTGCAGTCCAAAAAATGTCAAATTTTGTCTCATCCATCCCAAACATTTCTTTCCCCCACAATTGTTGTTCCTCTAACACATCGCTTGTGGCAAACTAGAAATTGTTCTCATTTTCTTTTCTTCAAAATGACTTCTACTCCTCCAAAGTCTGGAAAACATGTATCAACCCCCTTTTCATTTACACCTGTGTTCTACTCTGTGTTGATCCATCACAAAAAAAAAAAAAAAACAACAAAAAACAATTACACACATTGTGTATTGTAGCTCTGCCTTAGAAAAGGTGAAGTTATTGAAGGGGTGGTCGGTTCTTCAATAATAATATTTTACTTGATAAACTGAAAATGAAAAATAATAGCCATTAAACTATCAAAAAGAAAAAGGAAACCTGCAGAAACAGTTGCGGTGTATGATGCATGCAGGTGATACTCACTGGGATTCCTCGAGGTCCCGCTGGGCCCGGAGGACCTGTGTCTCCCTGATAATGATAATAAAAAAGACCACAGTCTGTCTCAGAAGATAAACTACTTCATACAGGTTTTGCAGTAGGATTATCTCCATGAGATTTATCTGATAGGTTTTGTGATAAAATGGTGCTACTTACCCGCAGTCCTGGTTTGCCATCTTTTCCATCTATTCCTTCAATACCAGGAGGACCCTTTCAAAATTGCATATACATCAGTTATAGTTCCAAACAGCTACATTGCAGATCAAATAAATTCATAATATTTACCATTAGCCCTGGAGATCCAGGTGAGCCTGGTGGCCCAGTGGGTCCTTGGGAACCTGGAGAACCATCATTACCCTTTGGAAATATAGTGTTTATTTATCCACATCATAATCTTTATTGCGAAAGAGGTAAACATGGTAAATTGCCTTATCTCTACTTACTTTTTCTCCTTTAAGCCCAGGTTGGCCTTCTCTGCCAGACTTGCCAGCAGGACCAGGAGGACCCTATGGTTACATCAAATATTGAAATGTCCTACTAACATTTAGATAAGAAAAAAGGTGCAAAAGATTAGGTAAAGACTCTACATACTGGTGGGCCTGGAAAACCTGGTTGTCCTTGGAAACCCTGAAATATGAAAAAATAAACAATGAAAAAAAAATCTTAGCATTTAATTTATTATTTCCTGTTAACAACAATAAAAATGATTTCTAGAAAGATCATGTGTGGTATGTACAGATGTCAAAAGAATTATTTGCACCCTTAGTACAGATGCACAAGCTTTAAATAAATGTAAACTTTTTACGGTTGTACATTTACAGTAGTATTTAAGAATTATCCTCAGCACTGAAACATGTTAAGAAATAATTCATGTTAAGAGAATGGTAAGTGGAATCAGTAATGCCCTTACTACAGTTTCAGCTTTTCTGTATTCTCAATAGGCTTCCACATGGTTTACAAATGCACTGATGATCTCAGACACTGCATTAATAGAGAAAAGCTTGTTGTCAGTCTCCACTTTCATTTATCCCAAAAGTTGAGGACAGGATTTCAGGAGAGCCAGAGATTATTTTTTTTTTTAGAAATGCACTGAATGCAATATCTGGATTAATATTGGCTCCAAAACCGACTAATTACCTAGATCAGAAATTGGATACTGGAGATCTTGTCTGATGAACTTTATACGGAACTGCTATTTTTTAGTTTTTGCTCCTAATTTATAATGAAGTGTTGTGTTAATTTTTCACCTTTTAATAGTGTTTATGTCAAGGCTAAACCCTTCACTGACATCTTATGATATATGGTTTATTCATCTAACAGTATCTAACGGTATCTGATATTGACCATGAGCTCAGCCCAGGTATCATGGTGGATTGGAAAAAAGCTGGATCAGTGCATCCGTAATTTTGTTTTTCAACCAAACTTCCTTGGTCATGTCTTTATATACATTTCATTTGTTAAATAAAGAGCGCCTCAATAGTGTTCCAACAAAAAGCTTCTCCAGGATGTAAATTAAGAGATATGTTTACAAGAACCAAGAGCCAAGACCCAGTAAAAAAGTCCCATACCACAATCTGATTACCTTTGAACCAGACTTTAGTTTTAGTTAATGGAATATTTAGTATTATATTTCTGAATGGATTTAGTTTTTTAGATCTAGGATGAACGAGGTGATTGGAATAGCTGCATTCAATGATTTAGAGGGGTCAGACATTACTGCTGATAATTTAATATACCAAAGACCCATACATTTGTGTTTCTATAAAGCCTTTATTCTCAGTTTCAGTTGTTTCAAATGTCTAAATCAGAGATCCCACAATAGATTTAGGAAACTTTTGGAAAACTAGTTTTCCTGTAGCCATTTCCTGATTTACAGGGATAAACAAACAGCTGCCTAACTTTGGTGCTATGCACTTATTCAAGAGTAGCAATAATAGAGGACACTCCATATTTCGTCATATTCATACCCAAAGAAACAGAAATCAGAGTCTAAAAATGTATAAAAACTGCTTCAGCTCTCTCTACAGCTACCTTAGAACATTGGAATCTTAATGTACTAAGAATAAAAGGTGTATATTTCAAAAACTTAATGTATGATTCACAAAATCTGAATGTGCTTTTTTGTGTTTCCCGGGTGTGTAGACTAATTTGCATGTATCTGCATTAGACATACCTGGTCACCTTTGGAACCAATAGGCCCTGCTGGTCCTGTGTCTCCTTTAATGCCCTGCACACATTAAACAGTAACATCCTCTTTATCAAACAATACTCTAAACAAAACAAAAAAACCATATGATTTATTTAAGATGAAAAACTGACTGGAGTGCCAGCCTGTCCTTGATATCCAGGGCTACCAGGAGGACCCTACAAAATAAAATGAAATGTTTTAGACAACATGTTCCAACATGAGCTTAAGGTAAATAATCATCACAGTGATGGTGCAAAAACTCACAGATTCTCCTTTCTGACCAGCTATTCCTGGGCTTCCACGATCACCCTTCAGTCCCTGACAAAATACACACATACAAAAAAAGAACAGTGAATCACTGCGGGACCTTGTGTCACTTGGACCTTTCTAAAAAATGACAGAATGCTGTCAGTTCTTTAATAATGAGATGGTAACTTACAGGCAGCCCCGGTGGCCCCATAGTTCCAGGATAACCAGGCGTCCCTGGAGGGCCCTGAAGGAAAGATCATACGATCAATCAAATAGAGAAACCAATTATTTTTACTGTATGCTATCATTTCATGTCAGGTATCTACCTGCTCGCCCTTCATTCCTGGGAGGCCGGACGATCCTCGCTCACCATGCTGACCCTGAGGATGATGGCAGCGGGGACGGATTACCAACAACGAAGAGTTATGGGGACTTGTAAAATTATAAATGTTATATTTTATTTCCCTTGTTACAAACAGAAACAATTTAATGTATCATATAAGGGATGATACACCAATATAAATCTGCTTATAGTTGTGAAGTTTCAGAAAATTATAGATTATGCTAAAAATAATAAAGTTTAAAAAAGTAGTCTATTTTGCTTTTTCTTCCAATATTAATCCAGTTGCTTTTAAGAAGACCATAATGTATTGTTAGACAATATTAGAGTACAGGTACTGTCATCTACTGAAGTCAGTGAAAGTCTCAACATCTATCTAAATTATTATCTCATGAAACTCAATCAGTGCAAACCTATCACACCTCAGGTAACATAATGTGTTAACAGCACTGCATACATGTAAGTCTTGCCTTGTGAAAGTGATGCAAAAAGAAAGCTGATGTTGAAAAAAAAAAGGCAACAGAAAGACTAAGGTTTAAGGGTAGGCCTTTTAACAGTTTGAGAGTCTATCTATGTAGTGGAAATAAAAAGTGGCAAAGTTTTTTTTTTTTTTTTTTTTGCTCTTGAACTCTGTGAAGCAGCAGGGTAGTGATACCTGCTGATAAAACTGTTTTTCTGTAGTAAACCGTTCTGTATCCTCAAATATTGCTGATACTTTGAACTCATATTTTCATTTGTAGATTTAAATGCAGCAGCCCAGCATTTTTTTTAACATTCTCTCTCTCTCTCTCTCTCTCTCTCTCTCTCTCTCTCTCTCTCTCTCTCTCTCTCTCTCTCTCTCACACACACACACACACACACCAACAACCCATAATCTTAACAAGAATGTGCATATGCAGAAAAGCTGTATTAAAAGTTATCAGTCATAGTGCAGTAAAAGAATTCTGAACAACATTTGGGTTTAAATACTGATATGCACATGGAGGTGTGAGCTGTTGCCTGGCAACAGCCTAAAGACTGTAAGCAAAGACAGATCAGGAGATGAAACTAGACTTCGTGGCATTTTCATTTAAAAGAAAAGGGAGAAACTGCTGTAAATTAGCTGTATGGTTATGTCTGCCCATTAAATATTTACATTTAAACATTTAAAATATTAATGATACAGACAGTTTTCTTATATTTTAGAAGTTTTACATTTTAACATTTTTAGAAGAATAACCCTGTGCACAACAGCATCCGGTAGAATTTAATACCTGCTTTGAAGTATGACTACACTGCAAATGGATTTTATTCAGCAATCACATGGTTCCAGCATTTGGCACTTCCATTCTCTTCAAACAATAAATCAGCACAAATAGGAAGGGCTGAAGAGAGAGGCTCTCTAGGCAGGACTTTTACACACTATTTTAAACAGTTGAATCACACTCCTGGAAGCAGGCAGCTATCATTGCTCTACACCAAAATGGCAGCAATGCTCCAATTGACAATGGACCATTTGAAAACAGAAACAGTTCTCAAAATCAACGAGACATTTTAAAGAAGCTCAGGTGCAATAAAGAAAACTTCATGATGCCAAACAGTGTCCAGCAAAGTCCAGGAACATCTCTCCTGAATAGTGAACGACTAAATCTCAACAGTCACCAGTGTGGCGCTCACTCACTATTGTGAAAAGGTGCGGAGTGCATTGATCTACACATAAGGGAGCAGGCGTTTAGAGGGTACTGGGTAATTAGCCACTTTAAACTGCAAAAGTGTAAAGAAAAAAAGGACGTTTAATACCTGAGAATGAAAGATGATTTATTTCCATCTTACCACAAAATATTTTATTATCAATGAATGTTTTTTTTGTAATTTAACAAATTGTTAGGGATTTTACTTAAGAGAATAATTATTAGTTATTATTAATTATTATAATAATTCTTAGTTATTTAGGTCTCATAATGTATAATATATCATATGCCTTCTGATTGATTTAAATTTGAATAAAATTATTATTATTTAATGATTACTATTACCGTAATAGCTGTATCTGTATAATCAATCATAAATGATATCAGAGTGGTAAACGTTTTTTTGGAAGGAAACAAAATTAAAGCAGGAGAGAATAAAATGGGGATATAAATTCAAAGAGGAACAAAATGTTGGTTGCATTTTACAAATAACTCTAATGAAGAGGTGGAAATTTTGCAAGAAACACAAAGATGAACAGAGGAGGAGTGGCATTAAGAGGCATTATGAGTCATCTTTCTGATTATTTGGAAGATTGGGGAAAACAAAAAACAAAAAAAACATTTGTTTTGAAAGAAAGAGGTGAAAGCTACCATTAAAAATCATTTTATTCAAACAATAAAACATCCAATCACTATTCATTATATTTACAATAGTAGCAATTTCAATAAAAGCACCCAGTTTTAGTACAATAGTTTAAAGATGTCAAAGATATAAGAGCGTTTTAAAATCAGATTTTTTTTCTGTTATTTAAGAAATAATTTCAGTGACCTTATGAGCAACCTGTTAACATTTCCAATGTTGTCAACATTTTTCACCAAAAAACCCATAGGACCTTTAAAATTTAAGATAAAAACACAAATCTTGTGTCAACAAAGCTTTTGGCCATGGGCATTGTTGGAGACATTGTAGGGATTTTTGCACTTATCTAATTGTGTTAAGAAAAAAGTAGGTAAATGGAGTGTTTAGAGTTTTATAAAGCAGTGTTTATCTAAAAAAATAAATAAATGAAGTTTACTTTTTATATTTGTTTTCCTCTTTCATTGCATTCCTTAGCTTAGAACACCTTTGCTCTATGCATATTTTGATTGACAGCTTCTTTGTTTCCCTTTTAACCTTAAAAACAACAGTAAAACAGTATGAAAAGAAAACACATAATGAGGTAGGATGATTTAAGGAATATAAGTCTGTCACATATTTTTATTTGTACTTCTCTAAGGACTTTTTTTCTCTTTTTCTTGGACTGAGAGAACTAATTAAAGTGTGAAAGGATAAGCAAGACTTACAGGTAAGCCAGATGGGCCCTGAGGACCTGGGAAACCAGGGGGTCCCTATGGACAGAAAGCAATGACAGCAACATTTTCAAACACCTGTGACAAGCTGAACTAAAGGATAAACACAGAACAAAACAAGCTTTAAACGTTAATTAAAGCAGGTATCTATTTATCCCTTAAACCGCTCAGCATTTAGCAACACAATACAGGGCCAGATTGTGCTCTGTGAATTAACATTTAAGGGGATATTAGTTTCGAGACAAGGATCTTTTTCTTCTCTTTGCCAGCAGGGGGCTCTATTACCACACAGGAAGCAGCAGGCAAATACTTCATTTGTATCAAGTCACTTCAAATCTGGGCTTTGAGACAAAAACCCAGAGGTGGTGTTCTAAAACGATGATAACAAAGAAATGAATCCTTTTTTTCCCCCTCTCACAAAAGTTCTGCCAAAAATAATACATGACTGCAAAGCACTCTAAACTTTTCAGTTTTAACTTTTTTCCTCCTGTCATAAATTTCACAGAATACTAAGTTAGTCAAACCGCGTAAGAATATTAATAAAAGCATCATCCGGCACATAAGATTTATGAGCGGAAATTCTCCAAGGAAAAGTTTCTGTTGAACAAAAGGCATACAAATAGTTCAGATCTCTCTGTTTTAAATGAACATTCACTGCAAATGAAGAAAGTCCTTACCATGATTCCTGGTGGTCCTGGTGGGCCTCTTCCCCCTGGTAAACCCTAATATGGAAGAAAATCAAATATTTCAATAAAACCTTAAAAAAAACCTGCCCAGAAGAGGACATGTGTACAAGTGGCATACTTACAGCGTCTCCTTTTATTCCAGGTGTTCCGGGCATCCCTGGCATTCCAGGTGCTCCAATGCAGGATCGATCACCCTGTAGGGAAATGAAATGACAGTGCACGGATTTCACACACAAAGAAGCACTGCCTTGCATAGTCTTCATCTCCTTTACACTTTTTTGACATTTTATCACATTGCAGGTCTGAACTATATTTTATGACAGATATTCACATAGATTATTCCATAATTTAGAGATGGAAAGATCTGGTCATTAGTTTACAGAAATATGAAAAGATTGTTGTGTATTTCTATTAAATCCTCCTATACTTTATATAACCAATAAAAACAGTGCAACCCTTTGCTTTCAGAACTTAACCTAAATCAGCAGAGTCAACAACTTTGTGTTGGTCTATCATTTAATCAGACTGAAATTCAAATAAGCTTCCAACTGTGTATAAAATTATGAAAATGTTTGAGAGAAATGCATACTTTTGGGATGCATTTTTTTCATACATGTGGTGAATATGAATCCTTTATATGGCAGAAATTTCAAACAAACCGTTGCCTCAGTCGCTTGTGTTCTCTGCAGTCTCTCCAAACACTATGGATAGACAAGAGAAGTTATTAGAGCACTGCCTTACAATCACACAGAGAGTAGATCACAACACGCCAAGCATGCTTGAACACAATACAAAATGATGGACTGTCATTTTGCATTTATCACAGTAGTGACTTTAGGACTGGAAACACTGCATATAATTCCGAGTATGGAGAACGATGCCATGAAGCTGAAAACATTGCTAAAAGAAAACCCCTCATACTAAGTCTCACCTTGTCACAGCTGTCCGAGACTGTTGTACCAGGCTTGCCCTGGTCTCCTTTTTCACCCTTGGCACCAGCCATGCCTGGAACCCCTGGCAACCCCTTTGAACAGCCCTCTACACAGTCCTCCTGTGTTGCACGCATAGAAATAAAGTTTACTTCTACATACACAAAGAGATGCTCATGGACAGCTAGAATTCTGTAGGAGTCCTTAATAAGTGAGAAAGCTATTATCACTTCTTTTATTTAAAAGTTGAAACACACGTACAGATTCATTACTATTTAGTTCTGATAGTTTGAATAGTTATAGCTGAAACTTCTAACTTTTGTGTTCTACATACAGTAGTTGTGAAGAAAACAGTCCAAAAGACAGTCAGGAGGGTAAACCATATCAGGTATTTGTTAAAGAAGCAAACACAGTTTTATTACCCCATAAAAATGGAATAGTGAATTAAAGTAGAGAACCTCATAGGAAAAAAAAGCACACATTTAAGAAATGGCAGTTCTAGACCAAAGTCCTATAGTTCATATTTCAAAATATTAATCAAACCAAAGAGCCATTTGCTGCATGGAAACCTCAGATAAAGCAGAATTGAATTCATATTGTGAATTCTCAATATGCTTAAAGCTAAACATGCAACGCTCAAATTTTTACATTATCCTCAATATAAAACTGCAAGAATTAAAAAGAAATATCAATTCTTATTGGTGTGCCGGTGCATATCCTTATTAATTAATCATGAATTTATCTTTTTTTGTGTCTTAAATACAGGGACCTTAATAGGGGGCCTGGACCAGTTCTACCAGGGCACTGGATCCTGCCCGCCCCCGTCTATAATTGTCCATGCATTTAAGGTGACATCTGTGTAGGGTTTAGAGGGATGTGAAATTAGGCCAGTTTAATAGTTGTGAGATAACTGTCTGAGGAACAGAGAAGGAAGTACCCTGTATGGGTCATAAACATCAAAGTTAGCACACATATATGTGTAAAAATATGACAGTGCATTTATGCAGTGTATTGTGAATCTAGAGGATACAGACTTGCAGATGTAAATTTATTAACCATTTGATTAAATACAATTTCTAGTTTAGAATTTTTTTGCTTTCATAGTCTGTATATGATAAAATATACAGTATAAGTGACTATCCTTTTGCAGGCCACGTTTATTTATTTATTTTTACTTACATCTTCAGTTCCTGCTGTGGAATCTTGAGGTAGATCCTGTGGTCCATAGAACTACATGTGGGAACATAATAGCAATTAAACTCAATTTTTCATTTCATAAAGCAGTATTAAAGAAAATAATTAGTTAACCATTACTGAAATAAACAAAAACAAAAGTATTCTTTCAAAGTTTTACTTATTTAATATGGCAGTAATATTGTTGTTTTGACAAATCAGTAATATAATTTAGATAGTAGGAAGTCTGCTTCTTTTTGCCAAGGCTTCAATATAACAGCCAAATAAAACAATTACCCACATTAAGTATACTAAAAAGGTAACACAGAAAGCATATTTCTCTTCATTCTCTACAAACGTTAATTAAAGGTGAACTGCATACACGTCTTTCTCTCTCATACACACTCTTTTATGAGTGATGTTTTGCTCTCCAGATTTAAAATTTACTGCAATTCCCCACATTTGCAATCTGATTGACAACCATCTGGTTTATCAAAATTACTCACATCCAACCTGCCAAAACAGCACACAGTTAAAATTAGCACATTGTGTTCATCAGAGGAAACAGGCCTCTCTGACAGCAGCCCTCCTGCCATGAATTAACAGAGACATTTAATTATTTTTCCCAATACCATCCGTACTCATTTATACAATAGCAAACCATCACGTCTTTATCTAAACTCTGTGTAATGTTTGCGACTTGCTTGAGGAATTGACTAATCTATGCATATTTGCCACAAATAATTTACGTCAGAAAACCTGAATAAAAGAAGCATTTTCCTAGCAAATTGATGAAGTCAACCTGTGATGACAAAGAAAACAGGAATGAAATATGATAACATTTTAGCTAAGAGATTTGTCCAGGACAGACTTGGTGCTTTCAATGTCATGTATGCTGCAACTGGGTAAAAAAGTTGTAATCACTCTGAGAACAATGGGTCTTTATGAGATCATAGGAACTTTTGTGACTGAAAGGTATAGTGGAGGATGTTCCTTTTCTGGCTGGATCATCAAAATAAGTGATTAACCAGGAGTTAAGGTGGACATTTTGAAGGCAGACTAACGGGTCTTTTAGGGTCAGAATTCCACAGTAGATGATAGACAGGTGTTCAAATACCTATTTATAATAGCTGTATCATACAAATAAATAGTTAAAAAAAACAGACAGTATGACATTAAATTTTTGGATTTATTTTTTTTTTAGATTATGTCTCTCACAGTGGACATGCAACTACAATGACAATTTTCTATGCACGAGAACTTGGAAAATAGCAGGGTGTTTAAATACTTATACTTATTCAAATACTTTCCCCACTGTACAGTAGTAGCCATTCAAAATTCCCCACTTTCCTTGATGGGCTCTTGGCTGGTCTCCTACAATTCTTTTTACACATCAATCTTTGTACTAAAATATTCTTTCTATCATTAGATCTAAAGAGAAGCATCATCTCCTGGTCAGACCCTGTAATTCAGTGAAAGGGTGGAGTCAGACATGCACGCCCAGGAGAAGGATGGAGTCATCCCAGTGGCTGGAAGTTGGAGGGGATTCGGTTGAGTTGCAGGGAAGACACTGCATGAAAAGTGGGATTTTCGTCAATATGCGGCACTGTAGATTGTTGTGGAACTTCAGGTTAGCGGCAGTTTACGGCAATTTGCAGGCTTCGCCAAAAACTCCCGTAAATTGTCAGAAATTGACGTGGACTTTCTTAGGCAGTGTTCCCCCCATGCCCCCCCCCATGGAATTCTAGGGGAGGCTTTAACATGTAAATGAAAATGCTGTGAGCTATACAAATGCAAATCAGGGTTGCAGGGGGAGTTTTACCCCAAGTGACATTTTTCTAAAAGGTAAGAAAATCTCTGATACAAAGAGATCAGGCTCAGTATAGCCTCTTACATTTTAGCTTGAATTGATTTATTTAATTAAAGTATAGAGACCAAAACAGATCTTTAGCTGACAGAGCAATACATTTAGAGCAGTAATTATTTTTTTTAAAATTGCATTTAAGAGAAAAAATAAAATGTTGTCTGTCAATATGCGCAATTCACAATTACTTAAGTGGAAAAGTTTCAAGAAATGAGTCTGAGATGATTCACTTTATAACATGGCGCATTATCCTGTTGGAAGTAGCCATCAGAAGATTGGTACACTGTGGTCATAAGTTCCGGCCAGGTCAAGATCCGCAATTGCAATAGCACCAAACAGGAAAAAGAACATCGACAAATTCCGGTTCGTCAAATTAAAATATAGCAGCAACAGATCGGTGACTAGAAATTATAGCACAATTCTTTTATATATATAAAAAAATAAACTAACACCGTTTATTTAAATGATTGGATCCAAATTATTGGTTATTCCCCAACAAGGAAGCAGATTTCTCATCTCCGTCAAAATATTTATTTTATACCGAGGGACTTAAACTTTAATCAAATCCATTCAAAAGAAACTTCTTATTACAGGAATGAAAAGAGATGCTGAGTTTGGGAGTAGAGAACAAGTTCATTCAAAAAAAGCAGTTTTGAATTATCCTTATCCCCGTTACAAAAATCTACAAAAATATATATATATATTTGGGCAGAAACTGAACATATGCTGGATGATGGTGGGATTTTTTAATATGTCATATTAAATTAAGCGCTCACAGGGTTCATACAGGAATGAGTGACTCTAATTTAATGCTATTTTAATGCTATTAGAAATGATTTTAATGCCATCAACAAGAACCATGTACACAAGTTATTAGTGTACATGAAATATGAAGGAGCTGTAAGCACAGTTCCATGACTCCTGTATATATGTAAACACACACACACACACACCCACACACACACACACATATATAAGTATATATATATATATATATCCTCTAGCTTTTTCTCCGCCTGGAGCTTCCTTTCCGAACATACGGCTTTATGATCAGTTCCACGCAAATTAATAGCGATATAATATTTCTGACTAAATTGTTTTTATAAGCATTTTTTATTAAAGAATTATAAATACTTCGATAAACATATTTAAATAATTTTAGTGCCAATTAAGGCCTTGATTAAAAAAAAAAAAATGAATGAATTGTAATTATTTTTAATGATCCGCGGAAACCCTGGTTCATCTCGCGCATGCTCTCTACGATCTCCAAGAAACTCAGAGCGGAGCGGTCTGGAGCCACAGCGGAGGATGTATGCTTTGCTTTGTGCAGGCGGTCTGGAGCAGAGTATGTGGGATTTCAGGGTAAAACTCCTCTTGGACGCGATGGCGACTCTGCAGTCGAACAAGACGAACTCAAAGAAGAGATGCTAGCGGTAAATATATGTTCGATTACTGCCTGCTAAGCTAAAAGCAGCCTAGCCTAAGCTACGGCTAATAGCAGCCTAGCCTAAAGCTACGGCTAATAACAGCCTAGCCTAAAGCTACGGCTAATAGTAGCCTTGCAAGAACAAGCTTTATTAAAGTGTATTTTTTGTGATTCACAGGAAGCAGTACGCCGTCTTCACAACTCGGAGACTAATTGCAGGCGCTATGAACCGGAGCAAGGGTAAGATTTAAAGAATATGCTTTCATTCTGCGGTAAAAGGAAATGGATACGGATAGATACCGATCATAGCTGTACATTTTGTTTTCACAGACTACTGTCGCCTCACAATGAGGCGGTTACCTCCTATTTGCTCGGAGCCATATCAGCAAGTTCAGATTTGCACAATGTTGATAAAGACAACATTGTGTGTAAGTGACTTGTTTTAATGTTTTCTCCTTCCTTGTTACTGTGACTTGCGTTTCATTTTTTATTCATACCACTCTCATTTAATTGTTTTCCAGCTGCCTGTAAGACGTATTTTGAGACGGTACGCAGGAGCTTCAGATATACGCAGCCTGCGTACATCATACACGCTGCGTGCGGAGGCTGCCAAGCAATCTGCTCGGAGTCGGGCCAGAAGAAAGAGGGTAAGACTTTATTTGGTGACTATTTTTCAGGTGCATTGATAGATGTGTTGTGTCCATACGCAGTGCGCTGATTCATTGTTTTTTTTCCAGCTGCTAAAAGCGAGGCAGAGTGTGCTAGCAGATGAGGAAGTGGAACTCTGGAAGTCCGCCACCGTCGACCTCATGTCCGACGAAGAAGATGGCGTCGTTGGCGGTGTCTCTGGATGGATTGTACGGTCGCCGCCATTTCGTAGGCCGGATCTCACTGAACTCTGTGTTAAGCTGCAGTCCCGGTTAGAAGCGATGCCGAAGTACAGGGCCACGCACAGTAGGCGTCTGCACATCGGACCTGCCTCGGAGGGAATGCTGCCAGTTACCTCCAACCCCGAGGAAGCAAACGAACCGTTCACGGACTTGCAATTTTTAGATACGCATGTGTTTGGATACGCGTTGTACACTATATTGCCAAAAGTATTTGCTCACCTGCCTTGACTCACATATGAGCTTAAGTGACATCCCGTTCCTAATCCATAGGGTTCAATATGACGTCGGTCCACCCTTTGCAGCTAGAACAGCTTCAACTCTTCTGGGAAGGCTGTCCACAAGGTTTAGGAGTGTGTTTATGGGAATTTTTGACCATTCTTCCAGAAGCGCATTTGTGAGGTCGCACACTGATGTTGGACGAGAAGGCCTGGCTCTCAGTCTCCGCTCTAATTCATCCCAAAGGTGTTCTATTGGGTTGAGGTCAGGACTCTGTGCAGGCCAGTCAAGTTCATCCACACCAGACTCTGTCATCCATGTCTTTATGGACCTTGCTTTGTGCACTGGTGCACAGTCATGTTGGAAGAGGAAGGGGCCAGCTCCAAACTGTTCCCACAAAGTTGGGAGCATGGAATTGTCCAAAATGTCTTGGTATGCTGAAGCATTCAGAGTTCCTTTCACTGGAACTAAGGGGCCAAGCCCAGCTCCTGAAAAACAACCCCACACCATAATCCCCCCTCCACCAAACTTTACACTTGGCACAATGCAGTCAGACAAGTACCGTTCTCCTGGCAACCGCCAAACCCAGACCCGTCCATCAGATTGCCAGATGGAGAAGCGCGATTCGTCACTCCAGAGAACGCGTCTCCACTGCTCTAGA